ACTCGAAGAATGCGTAATGAATTTATGTCTGCATGGGATGGCTTGAGGACAAAAGATAGTCAACAAATTCTCATTCTTGGTGCAACAAACCGGCCATTTGACCTTGATGATGCTGTTATTCGTCGTTTACCTAGACGGTAGGATTCAATTGATATTTTTGGTTTTTCTGTGTTTTTTTACCAGAGATAATGCTGCGTACATCTTGACCCCCCTAAGACCCCAATGCTGTTGGGATTATACTGAATTTTTGTTGGAGGGTTTTAAAAGAAATTGGGGTACAAGTTTATGAAATGTAATGTATTTTGTTTTCTAGCTCTTAAAATCCAGAAATTGGTTTACAAGTTTATGAAAATATACTTGACAGCATAACTGTTTCTATATAGGATTTATGTGGACCTTCCAAATGCGGATAATCGTCTAAAAATACTTAAAGTCATTCTCTCTCAAGAATGTTTAGAGACCGACTTTCCATTTGAGCAACTGGCAAATGCAACTGAAGGTTATTCGGGAAGTGATTTGAAGGTATTTTCATAAATTATCTGTTATAGAAAGCTTGCTTGCTTGTTCGTGTCTTAATTATTTGACACAAAGTAATATAACGTTTTATCTTCTGTAGAACCTATGTGTTGCTGCAGCATATAGACCTGTTCAGGAACTTCTGGTGGAGGAATCATCGGTAATTCTCACAATTTTTCCTGGTATCCCTGGGATACTTCTCAATTTGCGACTGCTGTTCTTACATGGTTTTGTAGATTTCCAAAGTTAGTTGACACCATAGAATTATTTTGTGCTATACAATTAAGATACTTTCGTCACCACAAAGTGAGGGGAGGACCAAAACCAAGGCCTAATGCCAGCCCCTCATTGGCACTATAAAATTATTTTGTGGCAATTAACTTTAGGGTGTTGCTATATATCTACCCCCAAAATGGCTATATCCACACCTTTCACCTTATTTTGCTAAATCCACACCAAAATCAATTTTATATTAATGAGTGTGGATTTAGAAAAATTAGACAAAAGGTGTGGACATAGCCATTTAGGGAGTGGATGTAGCAACACACTTAACTTTATAGTGTTACTTGGCTCTACAATTAATTCGGCTAATGCCATGGACCACTAGTAGTAGGGATAAAGGGGTGAAAAATGATGATGAATGTAGGACTAAACCTCATCAAAAGATAAAGATAGTGACATCCCCCCCCCCCCC